ATGCACACACCCTCGCAGACCCACGCTGGAAGGCACCCAAGCTGTGCTCCTCTAACGTCTCTGTTCGCATCGACCGAGCAGTGCAAACTACCCAATCTGACAAATTTCTGCTAAGATCGCCGCATTTATGTCCGTGACCGCGCTGGTCTGACAGAATGGCCGAGTGCAAATGCGCTGTGGGGTCGGAGCCATACACAAAAACTCTTAAATCATGCGGGACGACCTGCCGCGACGTTGTGACATCAGTCGAAACGACACTTAAGAGCTTAAACACCACACGAAGGTACGTGACTGCAGCTGGGACGTACTTTCGGTTGACCAAGCAGGAGTAGGTTGCAGCTGTCGACATGCTTTCAGCCTCGAAGAACAGAAGGCCATTCTGGGTTGCGAATTCCTGCGCGGCATCATAGTAGACCTGACATCAGTTGCAGGTGGCCATGCATAGCAAAACCTTGCATTTCATATTCGAAGACACGAAGCACCCCGCGATCAAGTCCATCTCAGGCAGCAATCTACGACGTGATCTCCATATCTATGCAAAGCCGTGCCGACCTGCACAACCTTAAGAGCTTGTCTGAAAGCCTTCTAAGCATTCTGGACTATGACCAAAGCCCTATGGGCAATCTCAAGTGGGGGTCGTTGAAACAGTCACGGCTGAGCAAGAAGGTCTGTCGCCGAACGAAGGAACGATCCCAGCGTAGATTTTAGTAAACGAGTGCCAGGAAGTGCATTCATTGAACTTGAATGTCCGCACGAATCGTAAAATATCCTGCAGAGTGTCGGCCTGTCTAGAGGAGGGATCTTTGTCCGCCAGGTCTACCTTGTTTCCCACAAGCCTCGAGAGCGCGAGCCGGCTTCCAAGCACTGTGGACTTCATAAAAAAAGCTCCAATGCCCGAGAGGGATCAGGTTACATCTTGGACATGTTTCCATCGAGCAAAGACTCCTATCCTCGCGATGAAACAGCACGCTGGCAGAGCATGCATGGGAACATATGGGAACGGTTCCGATTCGCGGTGCAGACTGTGGACACAGTCAGTTATAATGACATCAGCACTTACCTTGTTGCGGAGAGCTCGAGGTACGAAGTTGAAAACTGATTATAGATAAAGGTAGGACCAGCCCCGAGCTGCTGAGAATGTTACATCGCTCTGAGGGGAGCATCTGCTACGACAGAACATAGTGCTCTCCGAGAACTCCGCTTTCTCAAACTGCCCTTGGCAACGCTGAGCATTTACCGAGAATAGTCGCAAGAAGAGCAGTGACCCAAGGCAGCTTCTGAGACCATCGCGCGATCACAATGTCGGGCTCGGCGCTTTGCCGAAGTTCCTTCAAGAGCGACGGGCTCGGCTTTCGAACTTTATGCTTTAAGGTTCAGGGCTAGATTCCGGGTGAACCGCGAGCCTCGAACTCCAAAGCCTGAGAACAGAAAACTTCTGGATAGTTTGTGACTTGGCAGGCTGACGGACTCAAACAACCCAGGTGAAACCACAGAAGTAAAACAACGACATGATGATCCAGATGCCATAGTGTGATCAGTAGAATTTCTTCTTCAAGGTACTTAACTGCCTGTCGTGCTGCAGGAGTAGTCCAATCAAATAGATACATCCATATCGTGGCACTGACCACCCTAGCTCCATCACAATCAGCATTTCAGAGAGCATTTTGCCCAGCACCCGGCCTCCATCCACTTTGCACAGTTTTTGAAGGTGGTCTGCAACAATGCGGTCAGAACAATGGACGAGGCGGCTTTACGATGTTAGCCTAAAGGCCTTGAGTGGGAGTGCTTGGAATTCCGTCACAGCCACCGGCATCCTTCATGTTGCATGGATCCTGAAATCATTAAGCTCATCAAGAGCTGCAGATCCTTGCACGGAAGTCGACAGGACATCCGATACCCCAGGTGCTGGGAGGTGCCAGGCCTCTTTTGTGACATCATAGCAAAGCAGGGCACCAACCTCGCGGTGTCATCGATATGTTGTAGTGGTACTGGCATGAGCTCTACATGTGTCTGGTGCTGCGTGATCTTTCCCACAGTTTGCACCCATGTAGGACGTGCAGAGCTTGAGAAGGCAACACAACTGAGGCTTGCTGCTCAGCATGTATCACGGTGCCAAGATTTGAACACTGCTTTGTCTCGGCCAGTTGCCGCTCGTCGGTAGTGGGTACTGGTGATGGCCCTGTACCTGGCCAGAACGTCAAACATGACGAACGCACCGAGGAGCGATCCAAATCGCGACTTCTGTTTAGACCCCACCAAAACCAATCTCAACGGTTGACAGATGGGATGCATTCGTCTTTGGCAACTGTATTGTCGACACGTGTAGGACATGTTTTGATGAAAACCTTCAAACTGTGGTGTGGATGCGCTCTTGAAAGCGTGGCATGTACTGTGCACAACTGCCAAAAGTCTGCCCAATGCCTGGCCTTTCCTGGCCAGCGGTGTCCCAAATCTGCGCTTTGACTTTGCTTCCATTCGAAAGCCTGGTTGTGGGAGTTTGACATGAGCGTCCTTGAGTTTGAACATGCCGGGTACCGCTGAACCACAAGGCATCCGCAGCAAGGACGAAAACAAGTACTACAGGGGCCTTAATAGTTAGAATAGGGTTTTGGGGCCCCTTGTACTATACTTGCAATAAGGAACCCCCGAAATAGTATTGGTAATGATTTAGGCCCCTGCTTTATTGCACTTCAGTCAGGATTCAGGACTTTAGGCTCGGAAGCTGGGAGTCGAAGCACAGCTTGGCCCACGGCTTTACTATCCTTGTGGCGAATTCCACGCCCACGGTAGCTGTCGGAGCCTGTGCACAGGTCACATATTGAGCGATGTGCACCACTGTTGGTCACAGAAGCAGTCTCTGAAAAGGGGTTTCGGAACTGAGCAAATGGCTGACATTTGCTACTCGCGCCACATTCAAATGAGCATAGTCCAAGCAGCCTCTGATAGATTGGCTTGATCTTGTTAGGATATCGTTTGGTTTGGACATCAGTGGCACCGTCCTGAGAGTGGGGTATTATGGTTTGGATAATTCCCTAAAGTTTTCCCTGTGGTTTTACACGGCAGGCGGGGTTTGAACAAACCAGGGGCACCTCCTGATGACTGCAGAGATGTGAAGACTTTTGCAAAGCCCTCATGTGTGGAACGCCCCAGCAGTGGGCGACAGCACACACACAGAAAAAATAACTGTTATCATCATGATATTCATCCCGACCACCGTCGTAACCACAATCGTTGTCACTATCCATACATCATCATGAAGGTCACCATGCAGACCCCCTTCACCGCCAGCTAGAGCATTATCATCGTCAGCATCGAAACAAGACAAAAGGAACCAGGCTGGCCTTTGGAAGCTTGCTCTTGACGTACCTGGACAGCAGGTGCGTCTTGCCGACCGTGGCGTCGCCAACTAAAACCACCTGCCAGGTGAACAGCTGCCGGGTCCAGGGTCAGGGGCTGTTTGCATCATCCGATTCGGACCGTTAGACCGTTGGGGTAACTTGCTTGAGTCTGCGTCAGTTTGGCTACTGCATGTTGCAGGGCAACCATGTGTCGCACCAGCTTGAAGAAAGCTTCGAACAAACGTAAAGGATAGCTTCGGCCCAAGTGCCATCGAGTGCAGACCTGTTGCACCGGTATACAAGATCTCGTCTCGTGCTTCAGAGTTCTTGCTAAATCAAGTCCATGGATGTCTGTCACGTGGATGAATGTCGAATGAATCCTACTGGGATTTTCCCAAAGCTTCGGCAAGTTTCAGCTCCGCCCAGTGCCTTGTAGAAATGATCATAGTCATCATCTCCCATCGCTCGGGATGCCGAGGCGCTGGTTCTTGCAAGACTCCTCGCAGCTTTGGGGCAAGGCTCAACGGGATATCAGAATGCGACGACAGTGCCGGAGTCCTGGAAAACTTGTTGCAAGAGTCAGGGCTGTCCTGCAAGCATGAGCATTCTGGACGATCGTGCTCAGTCAGCCAAGTCATCTGAAAGGCAAAAGTTGGTGCTGCCACCAAACCCTCCCGGATTTCTCGAAGCTCCGCACCACCGGTTGTGCCAGTCTGTGCTCTTCTACGCAGAGACTGCCTGGAGAGCCCAGCTGCAGAGCTTTTCTCCCTCTCCCTGAAAAGGTCTGAGGCCGAACCCTGCTCCTTAGCCTTTGGAAATAGTTGGGAGGTTTGGGATGGTTTGGGTTTGGTGATGTTTGGCGTCTTCCAGCTAGGCCGTGGCTTCAAACTTTGAGGGACTGCTGCAACTTGTCCTCGAGACTTTCTAGGCTTGGAAACATATGAAACCCATGCGGGACATCTGCGCACAAATCAAGGTGGTCTAGCTTGATGGCTTGACGACCATGGCAATTGGATGGAGCAGCTCCCGAGCGTCGCCTTAACCAAAGACTCATCATAAATTATCGGCTTCTGGTTCAACCCATCATGCAAGCAGTTGTACTGGAATGCGACACAAACACCATCGAGTGACCGGTCTAGGCATCAGAATGTTTATCGAGCATCCAGCGCAGTGGGGTGTGCTCGGGAATGCTTCAGGTTCAGGTCACTCTTCTTTGAAGCCCTGTCTGCCCATCCTGGTTTCGAGAGCAGCGCTTCCCGTCCGGCCCCCTCTTTGAGACTTCTACGGCTGCGGCATGGTCCCCTCACTGCAGCAACGATGGTGATACTGGAAATGATGATGGAGAGTAGGAGTCGGTGACATTCGCATCCACATCCGCACATCCGTATCATCATCACCACCATCATCTTGCCCAGCACCGTCACCACCAGCATCGTCGTATCAACACACCACCATGGCGTTGAGGCAGGTCACACTCGGTGTCACATACGTGACACATGCCCGCACGGTCTCGACGCTAATCTCAGACTAAACCCACTGGCACAGAATCCTGAACAGCTACGTCGTGTTCGCACAGTGCACAGTGGAGCATGGAGAGGCGAAGGATTGTCACGAGCGAGCAACTTGCACAGTCGGTTCAATGATCTAGCAGATCGGATGGGCCTTGCTGGCAGCTCGCGAAGCTGGAAGGCTCGAGAGTGTGTCTCCACTCGATGGCACCTCCAAGCATCGACCAGATTCCAAAGTTGGGTGCTTGAGAATGCTATCCGAACAAGGTGCAGCCTACTCCCACATTGCGCGCCTCCCCACCCACGGCTGCGGCCAGCAGCCCTGTGTCGGCAGGGCTGCCTGACACCTGAAGCAAGTAGATGTTCCACGTACCACAACAGAGTGCATGCCGATAAACGGTCGCAATGCCCACGATATACTCTCAGATTTTAAAGCAAGAGCAGACTCCCGAAACTTCAAAAAGGCCTTGCTGGCAGCGCGGCTTGCAACACCCTCCTGCTTTGTCGGCTTCTCTTGGGGCTGTGGAGCTGCAGCTGCAATTTGTGGCTACCTACTGCACTAGCTCTCAGTGGCTCGGGGTGCCTGGCTTGTGAACAAGGACAAGGTGGGCCATGTGAAATACACATCGTAGCGCGGACCGGAAAAAGATGCACTGTGGCTTACTCGAGAGCTGGAAAGGATGGAGCTACCTGGCCAAGACCGGCTGCTCGCATGACGAACTTTTTGATGCTAGGCCGTGCCTTGCTGGCATCTCGAGAAGCCGGAAGGCTCGACGGCACCTCCAAGACCTTGTCTGGGGCATCGACCAGATTCCAAAGTTGGGTGCTTGAGAATGCTATCCGAACAAGGTGCAGCCTACTCCCACATTGCGCGCCTCCCCACCCACGGCTGCTGCCAGCAGCCCTGTGTCGGCAGGGCTGCCTGACACCTGAAGCAAGTAGATGTTCCACGTACCACAACAGAGTGCATGCCGATAAACGGTCGCAATGCCCGCGATATACTCTCAGATTTTAAAGCAAGAGCAGACTCCCGAAATTTCAGCAAGGCCTTGCTGGCAGCGCGGCTTGTAACACCGTCCTGCTTTGTCGGCTTCTCTTGGGGCTGTGGAGCTGCGCTGCAATTTGTGGCTACCTACTGCACCAACTCTCAGTGGCTCGGGGTGCCTGGCTTGTGAACAAGGACAAGGTGGGCCATGTGAAATACACATCGTAGCGCGGACCGGAAAAAGATGCACTGTGGCTTGCTCGAGAGCTGGAAAGGATGGAGCTACCTGGCCAAGACCGGCTGCCGGTGTGCGAAACGAATCTGTGCAACCAACTCTCAAACCTTACTCAGAACTGAAAGATCGACGCGACCTTTGTTCCAGTGACTTGTGATGCGTGATGCAATCTAGCTACCCTGTTGCCAAAACGACTCGCATGACAAACTTTTTGATGCTAGGCCGTGCCTTGCTGGCATCTCGAGAAGCCGGAAGGCTCGACGGCACCTCCAAGACCTTGTCTGGGGCATCGACCAGATTCCAAAGTTGGGTGCTTGAGAATGCTATCCGAACAAGGTGCAGCCTACTCCCACATTGCGCGCCTCCCCACCCACGGCTGCTGACAGCAGCCCTGTGTCGGCAGGGCTGCCTGACACCTGAAGCAAGTAGATGTTCCACGTACCACAACAGAGTGCATGCCGATAAACGGTCGCAATGCCCGCGATATACTCTCAGATTTTAAAGCAGAGCAGACTCCCGAAACTTCAGCAAGGCCTTGCTGGCAGCGCGGCTTGCAACACCGTCCTGGTTTGTCGGCTTCTCTTGGGGCTGTGGAGCTGCGCTGCAATTTGTGGCTACCTACTGCACCAACTCTCAGTGGCTCGGGGTGCCTGGTTTGTGAACAAGGACAAGGTGGGCCATGTGAAATACACATCGTAGCGCGGACCGGAAAAAGATGCACTGTGGCTTACTCGAGAGCTGCAAAGGATGGAGCCACCTGGCCAAGACCGGCTGCCGGTGTGCGAAACGAAGCTGTGCAACCAACTCTCAAACCTTACACAGAGCTGAAAGATCGACGCGACCTTTGTTCCAGTGACTTGTGATGCGTGATGCAATCAGCTAGCCACCCTGCTGCCAGAACGACTCCCATGATGAGCTTTCAAGACCATGTCTGGGGTATCGACAAGATATTGAAAGCTGGCAGCATGAGAACACTCTCCGAACAAGATGCAGCCTACTCCCACGTTGCATGCCTCAGTGCCCACCGTTGCTGCCAGCAGCCCTGTGTCGGCGGGGCTGCCTAACGCCTGAGGCAAGCGGATTCTCCAGGTGCTTCAACACAGATGCGAGGTTCGAACTCCAGGCTCCGCGCCGATGTGAACGATACCCATACAACCAAAAGCAAACTGCGGACAGCAAGAGGGTCCTACGATCCTATACAACCGGATCATGGCCTTGCTGGCTGCTCGGCTGACAACCGCAGGATCCAAGGTGGCCGCCTGCCGGCTTCTTGGATTTGCAAGCAGATGCGCAGTAGTGACTCAGTAGTGTTTCTAACATCCCTCGCAAAAGATGCATGTGTACTGATCTTGGCTCTGACCACGCTGGATGAGGAGGTAGTTTTGGAAGGGTGGTAACCGTACGGCAGGAGGAAAGCATTGCACACCAGTCTCTTGGATTGGAGTGGCGCATTTCAACGAGGCAGATACATCCGACCCTTCGAGTTCCGCTATTCTCGATCAGACCAGCGCATCTAGCATATCGCATGCCGTACAGAAAACATACAGGTAGTGCCAAACTCTGTGAGCGCTGAGTTGAGTTTCAAGTCTCGATGAACAGCTTTTGCCACGGTTCAGAGTTGTGTTGCTCAAGCGGCGAAAACTCTTGCCCATCCGCCTTGCTTGCCACACGGCTCGCGATGCCCGTCCCCTTGTCCGTACCAGTGGCCAGAGCCTGTGCAGCAAACATCCGTGCATTAGGTCATGTTGCCGGGTTTCAAGGCTGCGTTGCAACAAGCACCCCACTCAACAGAAATGAACAACAGCCGGAGTACCGAAGGAATAGCAAAGCAACAGCAACAACAAGAAAAATAATGACAACAACAAGAACCACAAGAACAACAAGAGCCGGAACAAAACACAGCAACGACTCCGCCTACATACTACAGCTACTCCTATTGCTACTACTACTACTACTACTACTCCTCCTACTCCTACTCCTACTCCTACTCCTACTCCTACTGCTACTGCTACTGCTACTGCTACTGCTACTGCAACTGCAACTGCAACTGCAACTGCAACTGCAACTGCAACTGCAACTGCAACTGCAACTGCAACTGCAACTGCTGCTGCTACTGCAACTGCAACTGCAACTGCAACTGCAACTGCAACTGCAACTGCAACTGCAACTGCAACTGCAACTGCAACTGCAACTGCAACTGCAACTGCTGCTGCTACTGCTACTGCTACTACTACTACTACTACTACTACTACTACTGCTACTACTACTACTACCACTACTCCCAGTCCTACTCCTACTCCTACTGCTACTACTACTACTACTACGACGACGACTACGACTACTACTATACTCCTACTGCTACTACTGCTACTACTACTACTACTACTACATCCCTCAGCTGCTACTACTGCTGCTACTACGACTGCTACTGATACTACTAGTATGCAGTACCAGTACTAGTACCACTCCGGAGACACCAGTCAAAACTTGAAGCTTGAAGCACAGATCCCCCAGTCTCTTGCCCCTACCCATACTCTGCAACACGGAAGTGGTGGATTAGCTGGAACAGGCCGACGCGTAGCAAACAATGCAGAATGGATCGCTTCAGAGTGTGAGAGTTGAATGCAGGACCAATTGCTCTGCCGAGTCGTAAGCCTCGACCTGGAGAGCTTTGCCGCAAAACTTTTCATGAAGATACTTTCACCGCAGTTCTAGCAATGTGAACCTTAAGGCTGTCTGGGGGTCAGTCCTTACTCCCAGCACGGCTCGACGTGCCGCCGGTACCAGCCTGCAGATGGAGCTTGAACATTTCTTGGGACCCCAAACTTAACTGGTTTAAATGGTTTAAGCTCAAACCTTGAGCACCGCTTCCTGGCTCGTGGCTTTCCCGTTGTTCCATGGCATGCAGAGACTGGAATCTGCAAACTCTCCTGCCCTGGCACATGCATCATCTCTGTCTATATTGCTTCATCTGGCGGTCTATTTCTTCTGTTGCTATGGCCGTTCGTGGTACGACCGCTGGTTGTTGCTACAACCACCCGTAAGTTGTTAATTACTTTCGTGAATTGTGCTCTGCAACTGTAACTGGCACCCGACACCACATGCGATCCATCCCATCCCCCACGAGTCACGCTTGCTGCCGTGCGTGTCCGGCTCAAGATTTGCCACCGGCTCAGCTTTGCTAGTCCGCTGGCGTGGTCGTTTACTCTGAAATGGATGGTTACGGCAAGATGGCAAGCAAAGGCATTCTCAACCAGGTCGGCCAGAAGTTGTGTCACTGTCCGCCCTCGCAAGTTCAACACGAAACCACCACCCCTAGGGTGCAGCGCCTTGCTTCCGGCGCGGCTGCTCACCTTCACCATCTTTGCAGAAACTCAACTTGAAAAACTCAAGCCAAAATGGTAGTGAGATCATAGCACACAAGCTGCAACAAAAAAAAGAAAACACTGCTGGGGCTCTGGAGTCTTAAGGAGGGATCAATAGTTTATTATATTGAGACTATAATAAATAGTATTATAGTACTGTACTAGTAATACTAGTTTACTATACTGATACTAATAAATAGTATTGTAGTACTGTAGTAGTAATATTATCATATTGATACTGATAAATAGTACTATAGTACTATAGTACTGTACTAGTACAATACGCAATAACCCGTGGCCATGCAGCGTGCGCCTCTTTCGACCCGAGCCTGGAGGCGGAGCGGGCCTTTGACGGCGCCTGCGCTTCACCGCGAGGGGAGGCTGCCCCTCTTTATAGAACTTACCTTTGGTTAGTAGGGAATGGGGGAATGGGGGCCAATTATAACTACTGTTACTAGCATTCTTCCCTTCCCTGCTAACACTCTGCTAACCAAAGGTAAGAGAAAGGAAGAGTGATGAGATGTGGCTTCTTGCATCATGTTCCCCAGGGCGTACCGTCTTTCTGCCTAATGGGTCCTTCCCTCTTCAAAGCGATCCTTCGAACATAGTGGAGCACGCAGGTGACATGGACTAGGCATACAACTCCTAGGCCTGATAACCGTTTGGCTCCGGGAGCTCAGGTTTTGATGTGCGAAGATCCGTGGAGACAAGCCATAAGGCCCTCTGCCATCGCTGCGAAGGTGCGTCCGTTCCACTTCAGAGGCTACAGGTTGATGTGCGATACGAAGGAAGCCAAGATACATCGAAGTGCAGGATGCCTCGTGAGGCACCTGCCTGTTCTGTCATTTCCGCCGGACCCAGTTGAGTATGTTTCGGCCAAACTTACTCTAGCCAAACATGTGGCTCCAGAACAGATGCAACGTTGCATCTGCCACGCGTCCGAACATGCCAGGCTGCACTGCAAGTCTCATGCGACCAAACCGACCGAACCTCGCACCGGCCCCAAAACTCACAACTTCCGCAGGGTTGACCTCGCCTTCGTTGCACTCTAAACAGGACTCGTGGCTCAATGCCATACTCTCAAGGGGTCTCGCTAGCAGCTGTCGCTGATCAGCAAATCAACCAGTTGCAAAACACCGCGAAAACTTCAGACACAATTTTCGGGTACAGAAGGGGCCAGGCGGCTTGTATGCATTGATCGCTGAGGGTATACTTGGAAGCGGATATTTGCTTTTTGCGGAACACCCTGCAAAACATCCACCAGCATCCAGCCCATATAACATGTGACATGCAGAGTGCGCGATGAGGTCACATGCCAGCCTCGTTGGGAAGCTCAAGAAAGCCTTCCTGCGACTCTGCGTTTTGGGAGCTTGTGTTTCTGGAAAGACCAGATCCATTCGTGGGCAATCAGTTCCAAGCCGATAATTAGTCCGATAATTGTAGCCCCAGTGGCAGGTGACTGTGGGTACCTTTTAGTGTTTCTGAGCATAGCTATCGATTCGTGAGGTGGAGGGGGCTGTGCACGCTCACTTGCCTGGTACCACTTATCACATGGCTTACATGCCGACGACCCTCCATGTCTCAACTTCAGCTGCATGATGGCCAGCCAGGTGCAAGACTAAGACCGGTTGCCCCTGTAACCCTATCAAGCCAGCAATGGGCATGATTCTTTCGACAAGGGCATAGATGACACGGGGTCGACTCTTGAGGCCCACCGTCTCTGAGATCCAAAGAGAAAGTAGACCTCCAGCCAGCTCTCATCGTATCGAGCTGGGGGCCCGATTCCCTCGGCTGTGGGGAGCTTTCGGACGAGACGCCGTCCTGGCCAGATCGCAAGCCTCCTGGGCCGAGGTGTTATGTCAACCTCCACGGTGCCGCTGGGGCCGGGGAAGGGGCGCCCCCAGTCGAAAGCTTCCTCTTCGGACCAGTCCGGCGGAACCTCGCTTTTCAGGATTCGGAGCTCTCCGCCGATGTCCGGTGCACCAGGCTGCAGCCACAAGCAGGCTACCACTTCACCATCCCAGGAGTGCATTTCAGTGCCGGGGTTGGGCTTCGATGGATGGTATTTCCGGGCAACAATATCTCGAAGTGGATGTTCTGTTAGCACGGGCAGCAAAAGACGCACCTCCCTGGCCAACGCGAGCAACGCCGGATGATGAAGTCCATCCATCAAGGTCGCTGACACAAGAACTGCTTCACGTCCCTCCCGAACCCCGTACCAGATCGTGGATGAAAGGAGTGACACGTAGATTTCTTCGCGGACAGGTTCGTGGATCGACTCATCCACGACCAATGCCGCCTCCTCTTTCCAAGCGCTCATCTGTGTGGCAGCTGCTGGCATAAGCATTGCACCTGACCCAGTCCAGGGGTAGTGAACATGAAGGGCGCGGTTGAATATGCCATGCAGCTTCTGAAAGTGAACGAACACCTCTTGTTTGGGGTGCTCCAGGACCACCTGCTCCCGCAACCCAGCATACAAGGGAAGCAGCTCCATGCCCAGCCACTCCACAGACAAATTCAGGCTCGAGCGTGAAGGGACAGTGCTGCTCTGTGAACCCGATATCAGGAAGTCAAGCTGCTGCATGTCATGGTGAAGCTTCCATAAGCTGAAAGAAGAGCTATCCACTGCCCCGGAGGCCATGGATAGTGTCACTTGTGTAGACCAGAGCGGGCGCCTCACCTGGGCACCCCTAGTCAGAGTCATGCTGCAATTATCTTGGCATCTTTGGCCTGTTTACGTACTGCATGAGGAAGAGCTGTATGGCAGGGACGCACTGATAATTCGTTGCAGTACCTAGACTAGTTTCTACACAGTCGGACAGTTGGCCAGCTCGTTTCCCTTCCCTCTCAGATTGACAAACTGCAGTAGACAACTGCAGCCTCCAGCATGTGCGCCAACCAGAGAACCAGCAGCTCGTGCCGCTCGCGGTCAAGAAGGAAGGTGCTGACAGTCCAAGTGCAGTCCCGAGCGACGTCCTGCCATCATATCCCAGTCTACTCAATTGGTCCTCTGCTACCTGTAAAGAGCGCACAATAAATTGATCAATCAACAATCTCGGCTACATTTAGGTATGGCATGTTTCCCAAGACCACTCCGTCGGATAATCAGTCAGCTGTTTTGGAGCCTTTCCATTCATCGCAGCCTCCGAATCCTCGGCCCCTCACCCCAGAATCCTGCGGCTGCGTAGAAAGGCCCATGGAAACGGACGCTGCCTCTGTCCATCTCTGGCATGCCTTGCGATTCTGTAGTTGAATGCATCGATCGAACACTGAAACCGGTTGCACTGTTGATATCCGAAACATTCTGAGAAGGGTGGCCCGTAAGGAAGGTTGGAAGGTCTGACAGGGGAGCTCCTGTTTGGGCACGTGGTAGCCATCAACTGATGTAGCAGGAACTGCGAGATTTATCTGAGATCATCAAACCCTCTCCATGCACAACACGCTGAACAATTGTGCGCAGTTCTGGGACAAGTGCTTAGCGGGATAGACTGGTGAGGCATCTGTTATCACCTGTTCGCGGCAGTTAATTACGATACAGCATGATTCAGGCATCTGCAGTGTCATCATCGCTGGAATGAAGAAGCTAGCTGCAGTTGCGCAGTCAAGGGTGGACAATTCTGCCAGGAATGGACAGCACCATACTCGACATGCGTCTGACTTGAAACCTGAAATGCTACAACTACATTTGGAGCCCTTCCTGTCACTGCTTAAGATCGCGCGCAACCCCAACCTCCGGCGGGCGCGCACGGTGGAGAAACCAGTAGATAAAGGCAAGGCTGGAGCCAGGGCAATCTCCCCACCAAGGCCTCGAAGACATCCGTCGGTGAGATCTGGCTGCTGGCGAAGGCCCAAAGGGTACCTGAGCTGTAACCTCAGATACCGATGCAAGATGCAGGAGGGGAGCTTGGCCGAAACGAAAGAGTGCATATCTAATATGGCTCTCCAGCATGCGCACCCTCAACCTGGAAGCCAAGAGCCAACTCAATCGAGCGCGACTTCTCGATGAGACACCGTCAGCAATGACGTTACTTGATCTTCATTACTGGAAGACGAATGCTTACTATCTGTGACACATGAGTGTAATGACAAGGGTGATTCTGTACACATCGAAAACCACATGGAGCAACTGCGCCCTGGCCGACAAGTCTTTGCTCTGTCCTTCCCTCGCGAGAAGCGTCAGCTTTGATCCAAGAGGCTATTGAAGTCCATCATTGGATTTGACGGTGGGAAACTGCCCACGTCAATGCACTGCAGCATCGGCGGATCTTCAAATCGGGTGTGGCAGCAACGGTGACTCGCCTGGGTCAAAGATGGCTACGCTCCATTCTTTTTGTTTTCCCACTTGGTCCGGGAGGGTAGATAGGGTGCACTGCAGGCTCGCCGAGACAGGCTCTGAAAGCCAACTCCAAAAACACCCAGAAGTGAAGCCATGCAGATTTTGTCTATGCAAAATCAACATTCTCGCTCACTCCGTCCCTCTCGCCTTCTCCCTCCCTGCATTTTCGCGTGCTCTCGCTCTCTCTCTCTCTCTCTCTCTCTCTCTCTCTCTCTCAAGGCCTTGGGGATGGCTTGTGGAGGCACACCCTTCTGTTGGCGGTCTGTGTGTGGCTTCGGTCGGGTTCACGGTTGTTCGTGTGGGACAGTTGACTCAATTGGAAACGCTCCCTGAATCTCTCTCTCTCTCTCTCCCTTTCTCTTTCCTTCTTTCTTTCTGAGGCTCTCTCTCTCTCTCTCTCTCTCTCTCGCTCTCTCTCTCTCCGAACAAGACGAGCTTCGCTCTGCAAATCAAACCTGTAGCATTCAGAGTTTCACATAGCAAGGTGCTGTGAGCTGTGGGTAGCTTTCCGTCCGCTCGAAGGCCACACAAGGGCCATCGAGGCCACAGTTGCAGGGAAGGGCCCAGGAATGACCTGTGAAGAGCTCCTGAGACGAGGTTAACGGAAAACTATGGTGGCCAGTCGTACAGGACTGTGGTCTCAGGCTGTGGCCGAGCTATCCAGGTTTTACAGGTTAATGCTTTGGCCTTCATACACTACAGTTCGGAACAGCTTCTGGGGAGAACAGACCACGAGAGAACCCCCGAAGATGATGGCCAGTCAGGACAGAAATCTGCTAGGGGAGTAGAATGGCAAGTACAATGTCTCGCATTGTGCTCGCGGTGTCAGAGTTTTATTGACATAACTGCTGCGTTGGTCGCTGCATGTCGCTTCTGCAAAAGTCACGTTGTCAACCTGTATTTGTAGCAATGAATCACGGTAGGCTTGTGCCGAAAGCTCGTGTAATTTGTAACCTTCACTGCAAACCGTCAACCACGATGATTGTTAATAAAGGAATCACATGCAGCAGGCATCCAGCTTGTCTGCCCATCCATGGAACACCTCGGGGTAGACGAATGCGGGGTTTTTGAGACGAGAGATGGGAGACGCGAAACTAACGCACCATGCGATTTGCAAGACTCCTGCTCCAGTGCGCTATGGCGTTCCCGCCTAAGAGTGAGGGCGCACTCAAGGCCACATAAGGGAAAACAAGCAACCACCCTTTTCCATGCAACAGGGCCTGCACCAAACCCAAATAAAACCTCAAATCGGAGGTCCCTTGGAGCCCAAAGTCATCAACCTCTTGGAGATGCCGAGCCCCGAACGCCTGAAGATTGTGCTTCATCGTGCTTTGGCATGTTGTCGTTGCGGCACATCACCCTGAATCCCCGGCGACAATACCCGAATTCCCCAGCTCTGAGCCGTAAGTCTTCAGTCTTCCTGTGATCCCTGCCCTGCCTCGCAGCAAGCGAAGCCTTTCACGCCGCATCCCTCCTGACCAGGCCCTGGCTGACAAACGCCAGCTGGCCCTGCCTCGAAAAATCGGCTGGGTAAAGCAAAACGACAGCAACAGATATCTATACGTGAAGCGACAACAGCACCATCACCATCATGATTGCCACTGGTCTGACTACCCTCTTAACTATCATTACCAGCAGCATTCTCCATGTCATCATGCTACTGGTCCGTGATGATGGTACTGCAGCAGTCATACTTCGAGTCATACCCATGGCAAGCCATGGCAACAACCAACATTGCCAGAACTGCCAGTTATGGTGTCGCAATGGTACGTCAGCATAAAGAACAGGAAAATGAGCATGACAGTAAGAAGCGTGCTCATCTTGATACAACAGGACAACACCTTGCTCGAACAACTCGGAGCTATCGAACTTTGCAAAACAACGACTCTTCAAATCTGGTCAGCCACTAACCAGAAGCATCACAGTAACCAAAACATCACTCCTAACAAGCGCTGGTGCCAACAACAAACACCAACGCCCAAAACATCCCTACCCTCACAGGACCTTGTGC